AAAAAAAAAAAAAAAAAAAAAAATCAATGAATACATGGAAAGTGTTGTGTGATAGTAGCACTTTGTTATGTGTGGCTAAGGTGGAAAAGCAGAGCCTGGCATTATGCCGTGGGGTTAACAGGCAAACAGGTCTTGCCTCATGATGAAGGCAGTTACATATTTTTCATTTTTCTGGAAAAAAGACTCATTGGAATCATTTCCAAATCTCTGACCGGGGACTACAAAAGCAATCTCTGCCACTCTCCTGAGGACTGCAGCCCTTCGGGCTCCAGCTAAGCACGGGCGGGGTGTTTGAGGCAATCATCTGGTGTGTGGCCACCACACGTCCCTGCATACTTGCCCAGTGAGACAGCAGGAAAGGTGGGGGTGGCCTGCGGAAGGGGGTTACAGAAACAAGGGAGAGAATTGGAAGAAACCAGCAGGGGTTTAAATGATACCTTAACTTTTAAAACTACTGGCTACATCAGAGATATTTTAAGAAGCTGAGGAAAAAAAAGGGAGAAAGTTTCGGCCTTTAACACCCAGTCCAGCTGACAGACAGCTGGCTTCTACTTCTGAGGCGTGAAGCTCCCCACATATTACAAGTTGAAGGGGAATCTGGGGAGAAGTTCAGGCGCAGTGATGCTCTTAGAACAGGGGCCCAAAAGCACCCCTCTGCTCTCTGTGACCAGGACACAGAGGTCCACCTCCCCGACACTGGATGCCATCCTTTCTCAGACTCCACCTGCTGCCAGGGCAAGGATGGGCCCAGGGAAGTGGCTCCGGTGCAGCAGATTACAGAAACCCACCCGGCCCCTGTGACTGCCTGCCAGCATCTCTGAGCCATCAAGGGCACAGCAAGTGCGAGAAAGCCCTGCAAGTCCACGGAGGCCCCGAAGGAGGGGTTCCCGTGGGGGCGGCGGCACGACAGAGCACCCCTGCTTGGAGCCTGGCCCTTGGCGTTCTGAGTGAGTGGCACTCATTCAAGTGAACTTTGAGTTTGAACCAAGAGTGTCACGTGCACAAGCAGGAGCCGCGGGCCTCCCTGATAGCTGGGCACCTCTGGAGCCGCCACATGCCTCTTCTGCTGTCCTCTGCTGTGTCCACCTGGCCTGAGAACCCCCAACTGCTCCAGCACAAGGCCAGGGAAGGGCCTCACACGCTGTCTGCTCCCACCACCAGGAGACAGAAGTCCTGGCTGCAATGTGAGCTAGCAGACTCAGAAAAGCTGAAGTGACAACCGAGTGCCCAGCAGGCACCACCACCGTGAGCAGAGATTCATTCTGGGCCCACAGCCTAATGTGAGACTAGAATAAAAGATGGCCGTAATTGGCAAAAGCCCTATGAATTTCATAAGTTAAAACTATCAGCATGCTGAGGCAGGCCATCAGGCCTTGCTTATCCTCTTGCCCGTGTCTGACATGGGGCTGGCTGTGTCTTGGGTCTGGCCCTCAAGTCCTCAGGGAGGACCTAGGGGACTACTGCGGCGTGTGGCCATGCTGTCACCTGGGGCCTGGAGATTGTACTGGTCCTGTTCTTGCTGGGGACTAAACGCTGAGCCCCTGTTGGCTCCTCCTCCTCAGGAACCACGTAAATGCCCAGACTGCAGGGTCCTTCTGCTGCTGTAGACAGTCTCCACCAGAGGGGGCGAACCCTCGGCACACCACAGCAGGCTGTTGCTGTCATTAAAAGCTCTAAAGGTTCACTGTCTTTGGGCTGAAGGGTACAGAAGCGCCGCACCAAGCCTGGTGGCAGAACGAGGTGGCATCGTCAGGCTGGCTCACAGTGGCCGATGCCTAGAGGTTTAAGGCGCCAGCGACTGCATCTCAGCGGCACATCTGAAGCTAAGAGCACACGAGTCCCTCTTCTGCCTGGACAGCAATGCCATGAGACGCTGCTCCCTGGCGAAGCGGAGCCCCTCGGACCTGGGGCTGGCTGCACATCTGCAGGTGCTGCCACCTTAGCCGGTAGCTAACTGCACGATCAATGCCCATACCTGCCCTGGGGCAGGAGGAGAGAACATGGGATGTGGATCAGAGAAAAGATGTACTAGAAGAAAAGAGTCAACTGCTAACTGGGACGGGACGTGCTGTGAGAAGAGCGTCTAGGTGAGAGAAGCTGGGTGCAGAGGAAGCCAGCTGGACTCCGGCGGCACGCAGGGTGCCCTGGGCTGGGCCCCGGCACGCCCACCCGGCAGACCCAGGTCAGCTGGGCAGGGCTGGCCAGGACGTCACTATGCCTGTGCCTGACACTTCAGGCTTGTTCTACATACCCTGGAGTTGTCTATGCGGCACATGGACTGAATCGCAGATAGACTCCACAGGGTCTCCCCTCCCGCCGAGGTGAACACAACTCTGGAATATCGTTCACCTGGTGATAACAAAAGGACAAAGAAAAAGAGTTAGCGGTTATTCATTCTCCCTAAGACTCAGACCTCAAAAACAATTCCAAGTGAGAACTACACTGCAATTCGTTAGTAGCAGGGAATTCTCTCCTTTCATAAATCCCTGGAGAAGCACTCCACAAGGGCAGCACTGTGTGCCACGTCAGCACAACCTTGAGCAACAGCACATCACAGCCCCACCTTCAGCAAGACTTTAAAGACGCATAAGAAGTTTCAGCAGGACATTAACTGAACGCCTCCCTCTTCATTTCACAGCACGCCCCTAAGGTTGTACACAATCAGAGTGACACGCTCAGGCAGTGATGGCGAACCTTCAGAGCTTCCAGTGACACAAACAGCCCGCTGTGGCACGTGTGTCGTGGGTTCACACCAGCGCACCAGGGCATCCCAAGGACAGATGGTAGAGACGCTGTCCCTGGCAGCTGGAGGGAAGGCAGCAGGTGATGGATGTGAAGGCAGTACAGTCCGAGTCTAGCCACACGGAATGCTGGCGGGGCCAGGATGGCAGGTGCACTGCGTGCTAGAGCGTGTCTGCCGCCCCGGTACAAGAGAACCTGAAGGCGGACACGGCAAGCCAGACTCCGCGCTTGGGTGAGTGAGGCTCGGGAGGAGCGCGGGCGGTGTCAGCAGGCACACACGGCCACAGCCAGGCGGAGGCAGGCAGGCAGCATCTAGGCATCTAGAAAGGGCTGGGCCCTTCAGAGTGACAAAGAAAAGATAAAGATTCATCTCCACTGTGGCTGGAGGCGCGTATGTGGAGGGCCAGGCCTCCAGATAAAGACAAAACGACCAGGCCTGAGGTGTGCTAAGACCTGGTCTAGCAGTACGTAGACGGCCACCGGTCACCTAGGTGTGTGACCCATAGCCCGAGACTCACCCCTTCCTACACAGTAGTCTGCTGGTTCTGTGTGACTTGCTTGCCGCTGCTCAACGGCAGCTAAGCAGCCACGCTGACAACTGTATTCATTGATCTCGGCTATAGTCCACCTTGTGCCTACCTAGTTGTGCTCTGTATAGCTCCCCTGAGGAGTGGAGCTCTCAGCACCCCACTCGGGGCTCCTCCTGCCTCTCAGCTGTACCTCTCCCCCTCAAAAATACTTCCTACTCTTAACCTCTGCTGTTGCTTAGAATTCATTCAGTTTTGGGGAACACAAATGTGGCGGATCAGACATCTAGCAGGTTGGGAGCTATAACATTCCCTTATATCATTTAGAGGTCCTGTGTCATTCCCTCCATCACTGTCACAATCTGGTGACTGCAGCTAGAAGATTTCCAAGCTGCTTCTTCCTCTGAAATGGTGACAGCAACATCTATTTCACCCAGTCATGAGGACTAAATGACAATGAAAAACGGGTGTTCAGTAAGTACCACTTCTGCCTCAGTCATTAAAACTGAATATTTAGCAAGTAAAACCAAGTAATTTTATCTAAAATGCACTAACAAAATTAATTGCTAATTTTATGAACAAAGTTTTATTACAAAAGGTTTTATTCAAGGTCATGAAATTGTCTTCAATACACTTGTCTTCATCAAATAGCTACTAGCATCCTAGGTAGGCACACTGGTCAGCAAAATCGCCCTGGTGGAAGCAAACCTCCTCCACAGAGATTTAACAGTGGCTTTGGTCAGAGAGGAGCCTACTACCTCGAGACAAGGGGGGTGCTGAAATACACACCTGACTGTATTTCACCAGCCTGCTAATGTCCTTCCTACTTAAGACAGCAACCAGCACCGATGTTGGTGCAGCAAGAACGTGCTGGCCTGAGCGCAGTGAAGCGGCCAGAGTGCACACGCGCCACAGCTCAATTCTCCGTGTTTTAAGAGAGAAAAGGAATCTTCAATTGCTTTCTGAAGTCCACATAAGATCCTGCCTAAGCTACCTTCTTTGCAGGACTACGTAGTGAAGCAGGGTTCAAAACAAAGATCCTGAGGCTTGACAAGATCTAGAAACATTAAAGACCCAGGCAGGTCTGCCAGGGTTCTACCAGGAAAGAAGACATATTTAAAAGAGCTCTTCAGCAACAACAAAAACTCAAAACCAAAGGGCTTGCACCTTAACACTCAGTCAGAAGCTGAGATTATCTGCAGCTCCTACCAGCGCTTCCAGGTAGTCCGTGCTCCTTCCTGGCTCCTCTCCCAGCAGCAGCTGCTCAGTAACCAGGCTGACCTGGTGACCAGGCGACATCTGCTGCCAGTGTCTAGACAGCTGTGGCCCTGGGGGCTCATTTCTGGGGTGTTCCACACAGGACAGGGCCCGGTCTCCACAGAACACGGCACCACCGGGCCCAGCGCGCCCTGCCCTGCCCTGCTCCGCCTGCCCTGCGGCCCTGCAGCGTGCTCTGGGCCTCTGGAGGTATCTTGTCCCTTTTTCCTTCGCTATTGCTCAGTGAGGAAGCAGGCTCGTGGATGGCCCTTAAAAGTTTTTCAGATGAACCAAAGTGTAACATATTTTTTTGATAATGCAATAGATTATGTCAGGTTTCAATCAAAACCATGTACTGTTGATTGATCTAGAACTTGATAAGACAAATAATTTGAAATGCGACTTGAAAGTTTGGACAGGGTCAAGACTTTTATTAGATTTATATTTTCCTTAAAATTAAATCTAACTCGATCATCTTTTAATTTTTTTTTGGCGGAACCAGGGATTGAACTCAGGCCCTCGCACTTACCAGGCAAGTGCTTATTCTACTGAGCCATCTCCCCGGCCCCTCCATCTTGTAATTTTTATTACAGATAAATTCAGGCAGTGGTTGGCCAACCCAGAGAAGTTAGGTCAGTTTGCCGGCGCAGTGCTGGGAGTCCAGAGGACCCGGGGTGCCCTGCTTCGCCCAGTGCAGGGGACACAGCTGCAGGTCCTCCCCGACACTACTCACTTGGAACATCGCAGAAAAAGCTGTCTGTGTGGAAGTTCCAGTCCACATCTCTCTTCTCTCTTTCATAGTGATCATCCGACCACCGATCATCCCGATGGCTGAAACGGAATGACAATTTGGCTTTCAGTCACGTCCTGGCTATCTCAAGGCGATAAGTGCGGCAACAGTACGGCTTCACAGCCACGACCTGTTCAGCAATCGACAGTAAGCTGGAAGGATGAGCAGAAGCAGCCAGCATTCACTCCTTCACTTCAGACAAAGAAAGAAACATCATCTCTTCATCCTGCTACAACAGAGCTTTTAAAAGCCCGTGCTAAACAACTCGGTGCAAATGCCTTTGAGTGGCATATTGTACACTTAACCTTTTTGCCCCTAATCTTTTCATATTTAACCTTTTGCAATATTTAAAGAGTTTATTAAGTATTATGTAAAAATACATGATGATTACCTTTTGGCTTGCTCGTCTGCATATTTAAAAGGGTAATTTGCCAGCGTTGCTTTATATCCGGTATTTTTGACCATGTTATTCCACGTGACCAGTCTCTGGCCGATCGTTGTCCCTCTTGGTTCAAAACCCTAGGCAAAATGTCACAGGTTCCCATGAGCACATTTCATTCCAGGCTGAGCCATCACAGTGACAGCTGAGGAGGCAGTATCGGGTGACAGCACAGGTGAGGTACAGGCCTCAGGGAAGAGGATCCGGCACGGCTCCTCCAGGGCTGAGCACACATTCAGTGAGTACTTATGTTCACCCCAGAAGCACAGCGCTGTGCGGGTGCCCCCAAAGGGTGCAGTGCTGTTCTGGACCACGTTTTTCTCCACTTCCACCCCAGCGGAGCAGTTAATTAAAAACAGACGACTATGAGCAACAGTGACACTCCTTCAGCTTCTTTTGGGATGAAAAAGAAGTCAGTCTTAGAGCTTCATTCAGTCTTAGAAGCTCTATGAAAATATTTTTATATGGCATGCAGGTTCTGTAGTCTACTGCTTCTTAGCTTAAGCACGAGGACAGAGAAGGACAATATTCTGGTTTTGAGGGTGAGCAGTTTCCCTGACTTTTTTCTTCAGTTAGTGCAAACTTTACTTATAAAAGACTCTTAAATTAGCGTCTTGCTTGGCGTGGTGGTGCACACCTGTAATCCCAGCACCTGGGAGGATCACTGCTGCTTTGAGGCCATCATGGGCTACAAAGTCAGTTTAAGGCCAGGCTGAATTGCCTAGTGAAGCCCTATCTCAAAAAGACAAAGAAGGAAAGGAAGAACAATTAGTTGTCTCATGTCCTTCCTAAACTTCTACAAAGCTGAGAATACAGATTACACACATCTTTATCTTTCAAAAAGAGCCACATACTTAACCCAGGCTGGGGGTGGTTTCAAAAGAAATAGAATATTAAAAAAGAGATTGAGACTTGCATTAGAACACTTCATTCACGACGACAGCTCAGCAACGAAGCACAGATCGACTGTGGGCTCCGCTCTCCTTACCAGTAGCGGGTCCGAGAAGTCTGGCAGCTCCAGCACCAACACGCCCACCAGAGCACAGACCACGATGAGCAGGGTACACAGGCCCAGGACCACCACGGGCCAGTCGGCTAGCAGGGCTGCGTAGCTGCAAATACAGGGCACAGGGCGCCGCTCAGAGGCAATGTGGGATGTCTGCTGCCCACGAGCGCAACTGGTTAAGTCCTCATGGTTAGGCCTGGTACAGGTGTTGTCAGTGTGAGATCTGATGGAGTTCTGAACACAGGCACACAGGCAGCCACACACAGGCACACATGCATACATACCTGCACACACACACGCATGCCACGGGCACATACAGAGGCACACAGTCACACACATTTGTGCACACACGCGTGCACACAGACACATACATGCGGTCTGGCTCCAGCCTCTCCCTCCCCTCAGGAACTTCTCTCACGCTGAGCCTGCCGGGTGGTGCCACCTCGTCCTGGCTGCATCCCTTAGCAACCCCTCCAGGCCCTCCCAGAAGCACAGGGCCCTACAGAGACGGCCTCCGGCTCCAAACGCACTCAGTTCCTGCACGCCTCCTCGCACATCTTCAGCACGCTTGTGGCACGCTAGCTAGCACTCCCTGCGGGGAGCTGGCGCGTGCTCAGAACACGTCCTTCTAGACCACCTCTCAGGCCCCTTCCCATTTCCAAAAAGAAGAAAAACTCAGGACACTCGCTTGTGGACCGCACCTCTCTACCCTTCACTGAGGCCCCTTCTGGCTCATGTCAAGTTGGCTTCTCACTGCTAGGTCGGTGAACTCGTTCTGCAAAAGCATGCAGCTGCCAATAAAGCTGGTGGCTCTAGGTGTGTGCAAGAGCCAGCCTGTCTCTGAGAACAGGCTGCCAGCCAGCTTATGCTCTGCTCCCCTCACTCACTTCAAATCTAACTTCTGATAGGGATCCGACATAACAGACCACACTGTGGCCCCGGACGTCTGTCGCAGCTGTCCCTGCACAGTGATCTCCCAGAGACGAGCGAGCACCACAGCTCCCTGCCACCCTGAGCCCATCCGGGCTACGTCCACTTCTGGGAGGAGGCTGCGGCCTGGCCAACTGCCCAGGAGCCGCAGACACCAGAGGCAGGTGACCCCAAAACACATCTGTGCCCCCAAATTCACAGTGAGACTCTCAGACCCACAAGCAGTTCCTTTCTATGCGCATCATACCCACAGAACTGTGGGCTGAACTTTACTGACTGGACTGCAAGGCCTGGATCTAAGCCTAGGTAAGGAAGTCTGGCTGTGGTGGTGCACGCCTGTGATCCCAGCAGCCTGGCAGCTGAGGCAGGAGGACCCCAAATGCGTGGCCCACCCACCAACTGAGCAACTGAAATGAGACCTTGCCTCAAGGTACAAAGCAAGCAGGGCTGAGAGTGCTGCTCAGTGGGAAGGCCCTGGTTGAGGCTCAGTCTCTCAGTCTGTCTCTGTCTGTCTGTCTGTCTGTCTGTCTGTCTGTCTCTCTCTCTCTCTCTCTCTCTCTCTCTCTCACACACACACACACACACACACACACACACACACACACACACACACAGACTTTATGCTAAACACAACAGAATCACTCAGTGACTGACTGTAATGAAAACGTGAATCTCAGAGGCTCCCTGTGCTGTTTGAGTGTGCCTGCTGACCAGGTGTCATAGCCGCGCTGCATGGGGTCCCCTTGGGAGGTCCCTGAGACACACTCCGATCTCAGTCACCTTCTCACCGGGCTCCCTCTGGAAAATGGTCAGATAACAGCTTAAGCAAATTCGCCAAGTGTCTCAGGGCCAACACATGGTCAAATGCATAAAGGGGTCGCTGCTAGCACAGCGACACACAGCAGCCCACAGTCTTGTCTTCTTGGCTTACACACTTCTCCCTCGTGCTTCTGCCTCTGCAAGCACGTCCTGCACCTCTTGCTCCGAGCACGGCCAGGCACAGAGCGCACGCCCTGCACCTGGCATGAAGGCCCCTTTCCTGCACCCTGACCCCAACCCTGGCAGGCTGCCCTCGGCCCCCAAGTTCTCTGCAAGCAAGGCGTGTTGGTTTTCACGTCTTGCTGGAATAATACTACACTTTTTAAGTTATCCTTTCTTCCTAAAAACCCGCTTGCCTGTACTTTATTCCTTCTCAGTACTTCCTTATTCCTGAAGGTTAGGCATCTCAAAATGAATCACATTTCCTGTGCATCACGAATTTAGTGGGAAGAATGACTACAGGCCAAGAAATTTCACACAGAAAACAGGATTCCAAACTCTTTCAATTAACGTCATGAGGACGTTAAGCTGAGTACCATACGCTAGTCACAAGAGGCCAAACTGCCGCTCCTGCGCGGGAGGGACGCGAAGTCCAACGCAGGTAGCATGGCGGCACCAGGACTGTGGGGAGTGCTGCCGGCGGCCCCTGCTTCATGGGCTCAGGGTTTCAGTCTCACCAGGTGAGGTGTCCCTCTTCTGCACAGACTCACATGGTGACACTGGCCACGACACGGCGAGTGCGTGTGACGCCAGGGAGCACACACGTAAGATGCAAGGCACACACTGCACCTTACGATTTAAAAATAGATGCTATTTTAAAAGGAAAAAACATTTATCAATGGAATGTATTTTACTACAATTAAAAAAGGATTATTTTTAATGGAAGAAGTGTTTTTTTTTTTATTTTTTGGAAATAGTGTTTAAATGGAAGAAGCTACTTATGTAGCAATTTTGCTTTAAAAAATAACTCTTGAGGCAGGCTTTGGTGTTAGGAGGAGACTAGCCTCTCTGGCAACCGAGTCTCAAAGATCACTCAGACTTTCTGAACCGTAATGACACCGCGTCTCAACCCCAAACGTCGGGGTAGCCGAGTGTGATGAGCCGATGCTGTCGGCTTGGGGAGAAACCTTCGTGCACTTAACGTTCCCTCAAATAGATGGACTTCAACACTTCCACAGCTTCCTCTTAGCATGGCTACACAGCAGTTAGAAAGCCAGGAGCACTCCGAACAAGCTGCCATTCCTGGAGTCTAGCTGGCAGAACAGGAGGGACACAAGCAGTTAGTACAGGCGATCGGACGGAGACCTGCACAGCAGAGCCTGGAGGATAAGCATCTACCTTAAGGTTCATGACCACTATGGACGCAAGCGCTGCCTCCAGCAGTTACCTCAGGAAAGTTTTTCCTTCATAAAAGTATGAAAGAGGAAGGTGGAAAGAGCAGCAGCTGTGGGTGAGGTGCGGGGCGGGCACACACACACACACACACACACACACACACACACACACGGGAGGTCACTCTGGCAGCATGACCTAAGTGCCTTACCTTTTTGGCAACTTGAAAGGTCTGGGTGGTCTGGAAAAAAAGCACAGAGAGACAATCAGAAGCCAAACGCGACACCATGCGCAGAAGCTTCCGGTGCAGACGGACGCTTGCTTCTGTACTTCCCTGCAGCTCCTAGGAGACTATGTGGGCAGCCAGCCTACTGGCCGCGCCACACGGGCGGGCGGCAGGCGCGGCACACCATGCCATGTTCCCGCGGCCCGCCCGCCCCCAGCCGCAGGCTCTGGGGACCTGAGGCCGCCAGGGCCACAGCCCTCTCCCTCCTCCTGCCCATGGTGGCTCCTGCCTTGAAGGGTCTCCCAGTACTGTTTTGGCTTCGTTTGAAAGAGAATAATAAAAAACAAAAACGACACAGAATTTTGAAACAAGATGACAGGAAGTGAACAACAGTTATTATACCGTATATTGTTATCTTCAAAGCAGCTGCTCAGATTACCACAGGCACGCGGCATTAACTGTCCTTTTCAATGAACTAATAGAAATTAGTAGTGCAAGTATCTCAGCGATCGTATGCGCACACATGCACGCACGCACGCACACGCACGCATACACATAACGCGTTGCCCTTCCTCCTTTGCTCCTTTCTCCCATCCCAGTTGCTCTTTCTCTTCAGCACTTTCCTCCCCTTTCACAGCATTTGCTGTCCTTCTGGATCGTATTTAGCCCTCCAGATTCTCAGACTAGGGAGACAGTATGGTGTCACACCTGTGGGTTGGACTTACTTCACTCATGAATATGTCTCCGTCGTGTCCATTTACCCATAAAAGCCTCAAGCTGTTTTGGTTTTTAATTTAAAAGGACAACACTTTCTGTTATCAGAAACATCTTTTCTCTCCGTAAGGCCCAGTGAATCTTGTAAGCTTCATTTTTTTTCTTGAGACAGGGTCTTACAAGGCTGTATCCCAGACGGCCTCAGACTCACAGTGATGACCCCCCTGGATCAGCCTCCAAGAGCTGGGGCCAGCCAGGCGCCACCACGTGCAGCTTCCAGCTTTGATCTCCTAACTTCTGCCTTCACAACCCCCTTGAACAAGTGTGGGCCTGCATGTGAATCCTGCTGCCCCTGCCTCTCGTCCTCCCTGCCTGCCGCTCAGAGACCCAGGCCGAGCTAGTCAAAGGGACTCCGAGTGCAGTCGCGCTTCCAAGCTCGACAGCCCAGCCGATCAGCTCCCTGGTTGCTGGCTTGGTGAAGCTTTTAATGCAAGTCTGGTGAGGAAGCGAAACCCACTGCTCACCCTCACCCTGCCCAGGGCATTCTCCAGAGGTCTGCAGGCCCCGGGGGATGCCGGGCGCTGGCAGCGGCCAAGCCTTCCTTCCCAGTCCTGGGCAGGCCACAGCGCACTGCGTGCAGCCAGCAATTCTGCTGTCGTCCACTGAGCCACGTGCCAAAGAGGTCTGCAGATGTGAAGTGACACCTCGGAAACCTTTTTCAAAAAATGTCATTATTTTTCACAAAAATGTTATTTATCTTAACATATAACTGGCTTATTATTCTTTAGTGAGTCAAACACAATTTCTTAGCTTCAATTCCCATATGGTATATATGAACTGTAAATGAAAACATAAACAAAAGCTCTTGGAGGTTTTCAACAAACTTTGGAAGTGGAAATGGGTTATGAGCGCAGAAGGCTGGGAAACCAAGTGCTTCCTTTGGTCCGGGCCGTGAAACCCCGTGAGGCCCAGTCTGCTGCGCTGTCCCAGGAAGGGACTTGTGCTTTAGTAAGAGGGGACTCAGCAGCCCTCAACAACGCCCCCAAATGCACCGTGTGTACAGTGCATGCAAAGTCTTCTCATTTCTAAAGACACTAAGTACACAAAGGGGAGCCGCGCCTCATTTGTGTTCACGTTTCCATAACCGCATAATGCATGGTTCTTGGTAATGTCAAATCAGTGTTTGTTGGATTAATAAACAGGTATCAAACAAAAGTAAATTTAGTTTTGTTCTCTCTCTCTCTCTTTCTCTCTCTCTCTCTCTCTCTCTCTCTCTCTCTCTCGTACACACACACACACACACACACACTGCAATTTCAGCCCACTCCAGTCACACCTAAGGTCCTTCATATTCTACTAAACTTTCCAATTTGCTAGTGCCTAAGAGTCCTAAGGTAGGGGCTCTCTCATCTGGTGCCGCAGGAGGGTCACTCAGAAAGGTTAATTAAGCCAGCGCGTCTTGTGCAAAGCACAACCCTCCTTCCCCTGGTGTGGAACTGAACCTCCAACGTCCGCTCGCTGGTCTTTGCTCAGATGCCACACAGCTGTGGTCCTGCCGAGCTGGGGAAGTCGAGCACGCTGGCTCTGACATGCCCTGGCCAGACGCCACCTGCGTTCCCAGGGTCCCCCGCCCCTTCATACCGGACACAGTTCTCCTGGGTCTAATTCAACAGTGACTTTTGGTGGTACTTCACTGTTATCAAATTTTCTTAAGGCTACAATTTTTCCTCATGAAACAGCCTTCTTTGAGCACCTATATATGGACAGATTTCTGAAATGTTCTAGCTAGATGACATAATTTCACTGAAGCAGCACTCCGGGCTCGGCTGGCGTTGTGTGGACAGGAAGAGCAGGCAGACAAGGCTGGGATCTCCCACCCGGGGCCTCGGCCACGGCAGCAGAGCGACAGGACGCACCAGCAGCTGGGGTGAGCCTTACACACTGCCCACACCACAAAAATGACTGCTCCTGAACACTTGCTTTTTTTGATAAGTCCACCAAGAAACCCCCAAAACCTATACTGCCATATCAATTACATATTGATTTTTTGAAACAAGGTCTTGCTCTATAGAGTCCAGGCTGGCTCTGAACTCTGTGTTGCCCAGTCTGGCCTCAAACTCACTATCTTCCTGTCTCAGCCTCCTAAGAGCGGGAATTACAGGTATGTACTCCAGTCCTGGTTTCCACAGTGATCTCTTATAAAATAGTATTATTGAGATACAATTCCCATACCTCACAACCCGACCACTTAAAGTACATACTTAGGTGGTCCTTAGTATTTTCACTTAGTACTTGGCAGCCAGTACCACACCCCATGATGACGCTGCCCTTTGACACTAAGGGTGAAGCTAGTAGCTAGCTATAAGGAAAAAGTTATCTATATAGAGAAGGAGAGTAAGGTCTGGAAAAAGGCAAGCACCTGCACATATAACCTTACATTTTTACTTTTAACTTTTTCCAGTTAAAAGCACCTTCTGGGTTTCGGGAAAAGTTAGTAACTTTGCCATGTTCAGACCTACAATGGCCACAGTCCTGGACTATACCTGACTAGATATTTGTAAAGGAACGAGATTTTGCTGTGTCTGTTCTGGGCTGTAAGGAGTAGGAATGCTCTCCTTGCTCGTCCCCACAAGGCTTTCTAAAGCTGCAGGCCCGCGACTGACCGCTCACTCTCTAGAGACAGAATGACTACGGAGTCACTGCCCTCTTCCTGCCTGAGCACAGAATTCATTCATGTTACATGTGAGACAAAAAAGAGAGTGCCAACAGGGGCTGGAAAAGAAAACTGAGGTTACTGCAAAGACCCTCAATCCCTGGAGTGTGCCACTAACAGCCACGACAAGCAGGTGTAGAGAGCGCGCAGGCTCGTGGCAGGCAACACAGGACGGCTGTGGCTTGTGGAGCTGCCTACTTTAACTCTGCCTCTGTGTCTCTTCCCAGAAAGCATCTCTGAGAGTACACAGGCCAGTAGGGAATCAGCTCTGCCCTCGCAGACAAGCAGTCTCCTTCCATGCGCCCGTCCCTCTGGTATCTAACCAGAACCACCGCAGGGGGCCTGCACTCACTTCGAGCCTTGTTAACCAACCGGCTCGCGGACACCTGCTGAGGGAGCAGCTCTCTTCCTCCTGGGCTCTCTCACCTGCTATGCCACATGGCTCAGACACGCTGGCTTCCCAGCAACTGTACCATGCAGATGGGCAGCTGTCCCCTTGTGGAGCCACCTGCAACAGGGGAAGGCAGTGTTTGCATATCTAGAGCCACGCCCACTGTGGCGCAGGTGGCTGGGCTCCCACTGTGGCTGGGTGCCTTTGCCATCCAGGGACCCGGGCATCTCTGTTTGCAGGGGTGACAGCGGCTGGGTGACCTTGCTGCCCAGGGACCCAGGCATTTCTGTTTGCAGGGGTGATAGTGACATTATCTTAGGACTAAGCTCAAACCTGCTTTTAAAAATAACAAAGCACATATAAAGTGCAGCGCTCCCCGCCCAGAAGGATACGCAGTAAGTATGTGGCCAGACTGCTGCATGCTAGTCAGCCGGGAGGGGAGGGGAGGGGAGGGGAGGGAGAGTGGGAGGAAGAGCGCAGAGACCACAAGGGTGGCCAGAGCGGGGACAAGGGGAAACCCTAAGAAGAGCAACGGAAGAGAACAAGTACAGGAAGAGAAAGTTAGCAAGAAACGGGGAAGAGGTTGACAGGGCGCAAGCTGTCTGTGTCTCTCCTTCCTTCCTTCCTTCCTTCCTTCCTTCCTTCCTTCCTTCCTTTTCTTCTCTCGTTTAAGAGCTGCTGGGCCAAGAAAGGGAGACTACAGGGTGAAGGATGCAAGAACAACACCACAGAAAGCTTTCCATCCACCTGCAGCCTTCTGTCTTGACAGCTGCAGAATCAGCACTGCAACCTACAAAGGCATAGTTCCAGCTCTGAATTCCAACCAGCTTCTCGTAACATCTAAGAAAATAAAACCCATGAAAACTGGCTTTTATATTTCTGAACAACTAAAATACAAGGAAGGAAATGTACCTTGAGCTTTACAGTGGGGAAACTGAACTTAAGAAACAAACTGCTTCGCGGGGCCTGCCTCAAGCACAACAGCAGCACTGCCTTGCCGCGCTGCCCCTCAGTGGAGGCGGACACTGAAGGGATGCCTCGGGCTTCGCGTGGGCGTTGTAGAAGGGAGAAGCTGAAAATAAAGCAGCACACTGGATGAGCGTGCTCTAAAACATGTCCAACAAAAGCAAAGCCGTCCCTCCTCATGACTGCTTCCACGGGTTCCACCGAGAGGAAGAAACAGACGCGCACACAGGC